ATTTTTCTTTTGCTTTGGTAAACACTAGTAGAAAAACTGGCAATTTAGCACCCAGTCCTTTTTCATTGGAATCCATCATTGTCTCCAATTTGTGTGCTCTTATAAACCAAGAATCTGAAAAAACTTCCAAAACTTTACTTATAATGTGTGGCTGAGCAAGAGTGACACAAAGGTAACGACCACCAATTTTAGTAACTCGGCTTATTTCACTAAACATCTTGTCAATATTTTGATTTGTTTCAAAACTTGTATCAGTATATAATGCATCAAGAGTTCCTTTGTCAAACACAATATCAAATGATAAATCCGGAAATGTGATCTAAAAAAAGAATATAGCTGTAATAAACAATAACATAAATATTGTAAAACTTTCTTTTCCTAATCATTTAATAAAAATTTAACTAAAAATAACATCAAAAAAATTTTACAACAGAGATTTTGGAACCATAACATAGTTATTTCTCTCTAAACTAGACTTTTATATTTATTGTTTCTCCAAAAACAATGCTTGTATACAATTTGTGATTTAAAACTTAAATTTAAAGATTTAAATTTAAAGAATGTGAGACAATTGTAACATTAGTTAACATAGTTCAGTTAGAAATACTTTATTATTATTACATAATAATTACTGAACTGTTATTAATAGATAATGTAACAAATTCTCACTTTTGATATTGATAGCAATTGAAAATTAGACATATATTAAAATCCATGTTCTACTCAAAGTTTCAATGCAAACCATATTTCTAAATTTTAATAATGGTATTTAGTTTGAATTAATAATATTATCTTAATAAATTAATAATATTATCTTAATAAATTAGTAGTATTTAATAACATTAAAATTATATTATGTAATGCGGATTGTAATATAATTTTATCAAATATGATTTGTATTAAAACTACAACTAGTGCATAGATGTGTAATATATAACTTTTTCTGTTAAATATGCGTAATATATAACTTTTTCTGTTAAATATGCATAATATATAACTTTTTCTGTTAAAAAATTGTGTGATTTGTTTTAAGTTGTTCCTTATTTTATTGTAAGTATTTTTATAGTTAAAACTTGGCCTTATAATATAACTAATTTAGAAAAAAACTTGTTTTTTTAAATATTATTAGCATAAAACCACTTATAAAATAAAATATATTTCTAATGTTTTCCATATTAAAAAAAATTGCTAAAACTATGTATGTTTCTATGTACAGTTTAATACTTTGCTATGCTTACTAATACTTTGCTATGCTTACTAATACTTTGCTATGCTTACTAATACTTTGCTATGCTTACTAATACTTTGCTATGCTTACTAATACTTTACTATGCTTACTAATACTTTGCTATGCTTACTAATACTTTGCTATGCTTACTAATACTTTGCTATGCTTACTAATACTTTGCTATGCTTACTAATACTTTGCTATGCTTACTAATACTTTGCTATGCTTACTAATACTTTGCTATGCTTACTAATACTTTGCTACTACTTACTAATACTTTGATAATATTATAATAATACTTCACTAATATTTCAATAAATAGAATGTTAAGGTATAAAACAGATCACTTATTATTTGGGTATTCAAAACCACTCTCTGAGGTGCAACTGCCAACAGGACGAGATGTGATGCTGCATATGGTGTAATTGTGAGAAAATGTAAGCAACCTATACTGCATATCATTTCTAAATAATAATACAATTAAATAAATTCTACAATTTGACAGAAACTTCATGGAAAAACCAAAAAAAAAGAATAAAACAGCTTTAACATACACAATGTTTCATCATTTACATCCTTGACAAAGAAAGTTAATCAAACTAGTGTGTGGCAATTCAAAGTTCCTACTCTCAATTTTATGGCATAGATTATGGGGGACTTGATTGATTGTAGTAATTCACAGCCACCACTAACAAAACAGCTTACTGATGAACAATTAGATGAAACAAAACAAGAATACATCAAATTTAGTGACTATTTGGAAAAGATACCATGACGCACAGAAGTTGTAGAACATTGTGTAAAGATGGTAACAGCTGTTTCTGTCATTTGTGGTTTTACAAAAAGAAATGGTATGATACATGTCTACCAGTAATCTAGAAAGAATATGCCAATATTTAATGTCGAGGCAAATTATAAAATTATTTAGTACAATTTTAGCTCTATGTATGTTAATATTATGTAGTAAATGCAACTGTTGAATTCTAAACTTCCTTTAAAATAACATGTTAATAGACAAGAAAAAAAAAGTATTTAAAAGTAAAAATGCTACAAATTAAAAAATAAAAAACGTCAAATATGGCAAATTCTAAAAATTTGCCTTAATTAGCCAAATTTGCTGCAGGGGGTAATTCTTCACTTTAATTTGCTCATCTTAGTCTCATTTATTTAGTTTTCTTATAACTAATATAGAAATCAGAGAAAATAATATATTTCTAGAAAAAGGTTTTTTTACTCCATGCTAGCCTACAGAGCATACTTTAATGTGCTGATTAGGGACCAGGACAAATTGTGGGCACAGCATTTTACATGCAAATATTGCAAGAAAACACTTGAAGGTAAACTGAACAGCTGCTTTTCTTTAAATATGTTTTAATTTATTTTCATAATATTTCAATGCTTTAGATCTAGTTTATTTCAAGGAGTAACTTACTTATTTAAGAGGACTTACAAATTTTTGTCATAAGCTGTGTACTGTAGGCAAATATGTTCCATCCTGAAATCATACTATATTATAAAATTTCTTGTCCTCAATTATCATTCTTATATATTATTTTGTGCTGTGTTACAAGTTAGTAGAGAGGAGAGAACTGAGCCATGAAGTTTGCTATCCAGATAAAGTTGGGGATGAAAAGCTGTACTCATGTTGATAAGTACAGCTTTCTATGCCCAAAAAAGAGAAATCTAAAATTTTTCAGAACAAATTATAATTTAGTTTATAACTTAATAATATAAAATGCAATTAAAGTAAAAGAAAAAAAAATTTAATGTAAAAGTTTTTTTATTAAAAAGTCTCTTTATATTTTGTTAAGAAGTCTCTGCGTTCTCTATTGAGAAGTCTCTACATTTTTGTTATAAAGAAGTTTGCAAATTTTTTTTATCAATTCACTCCCAACTAGGTTGCAAACAACCATTATTAGGTTGGGAATTACTAGAAAACAAAGTATAGTGTTAAAGGAAAATATGAAGATGGGAGAGTTCCAAAGCATTGAAGAATAAGGGAAAAAACAAGATAAATAAAAGTTTTTAGAACACGAAGGGACAGATACAGTAAAAAAATACAATTTTGCTGAATGATGAATCAAGCGAGAATAAGTTTTTGTAGATGGAACTAGAGATGATAGCTAGGCAGATAAGAGCAGGTCCAACAACAATCACAATACTTTTTTTTGGACCTAAAAGAAAAAGAACATCAATAGAAAAAATAGCCTAAATATGACAAAAAGTATTCTGTGCAGGGATACAGGGATGAATAAGAGATTTGTAGAGGTAGGGAATGGAATCAGGAGAAAGATAATGACAAGCATGATAAAGAGAAGCATCTTTAGCAGATGCTAACTTTGCAATGAACTGTATATATGGTTTCCATGAGAGGTCAGTAGTAAATGATAGTTCAAGAAAACATAAAGAAAAGGACACAGTGAGAAGGTTGCTTTAATTGAGAAATGACTTTAATAACAAAAGCCAGAATGATTTGGATGTCTAACATTGAGTGTTAGACAAGTTTTTGTTCGTCAAGATTCATGTTTTGGCGTTAAAAGAGTGTTGTAACTATAAATTAAATAGAATAAAAATATATATAGTATATAAAAAATAAATATAATTATAAATATAATAAGTATAATTTAATATTTTGGTCTTCCCTTTCTTATATGTTATAATGCATATATATGTTATATCTATAAATTATAAAAACTTTATAATAACTTGCTAACTTGCTATTATTAATTGTATTATTTTTAAACCATAAAAAGTTTTAAAAACATTTCTTCATTAAATGGAGAGAATATGGTTGCAGGTTGTTAAATAGTGAAAAATATATTTAAAAATTTGTCACTGAAAACTAAATACTGTTTTGTTTTTTTTCTAATAGTAGTAGTAGTAGTAGTAGTAGTAGTAGTAGTAGTAGTAGTAGTAGTAGTAGTAGTAGTAGTAGTAGTAGTAGTAGTAGTAGTAATGGTAGTAGTAGTAGTAGTAATGGTAGTAGTAGTAGTAGTAATGGTAGTAGTAGTAGTAGTTTTTGCGAGCCCTTAATCTGCATTTTATGAGCCCTGACGCTACTTAAAAAGCCCTCATGCTACTTCACGCGCCCTTATGCTACTTTATGTGCCCTTATGTCACGGGCTTTATATGTGAAAGTAATCGAGTTTATGTTGTGATTTAGAACTATAACATTTAATAAGTATGCGTACTTATATACAAAATGGTATTATTTAGGATCTCAAATCAGACTTTTGTTTGATTATGATAACATAAAGATAATAATTATTTATGGTTTTATTTCTTAACTGATGTGGTACTTTTTCATCTGTTTTTAAATTAAGCCAATATTTAATAATTTTATTTATTTGTCTAAGCAATATTATTAGTAACATTAACATGAAACCATTTTAAAAGCATTTTATATTGATCAAGAGTGTTTCAACTAAACTTTTTTCAAATTTTATTCTAAATCATTATAGGACTTTTATATTGTAAATGGTTCCTGCTTATCCAAAGCTCCTTTTAATATATTCAATATGTTATATAATTTTTTAAAATACTTTAGAATAAAAGAGTATGATTAAGAAAATGATTAGGTTGTTTTCATTATCTTTTAATTAATTTTATTTATTTTTCTAAAACACTTTTATTTCAGTTTATTTTCAGTTTAATTAAAATGAATACTTGTTCAATTTGTCAACTAACCTCATTTACAAGTTTATCCTGTGCTTTATGTACAAAAATTGTTGGCACCAAATGTCAAGGTATTACAATCAATGAATACAATGTGTGAATACAATGCTGTGTATAAAACTTGTACAGGTATTTATATATATATATATATATATATATATATATGCAGTAGTGGTGTAGTGGTAGAGCGCTCGCTTCATAAACGAGTGGTTCCGAGTTCGATCCCCACCACGTCTCTGGTAGTACCGCGCTCAACTCGTTTCTCCGCGCAGCGGCCTTGTTCGTCAAGGTTCGTGTTTCGGAGTTATAGAGTTGAGAGAGGGTTATAGCCACGAATAAGTAGCCTCCTCGTCTGTAGTGGCCTTCTCGGCCTTGAGGAGGTGAATTAAAATAAATAAAATATATATATATATATATATATATATATATATATAATATATATATATATATATATATATATATATATATATATATATATATATATATATATATAATTTTAGATAAAATATGGATAAAACCTTAACAAAATTCTGATGAGTTTTTTGTTTTATTTTTGTAAAAAAATGTAATTTATAAAGTATATTGATTAAATACAATTTAGGCTTAGGTTAATCATTCATTAAGTTACACTTACTTTAACATAATTCGGTTCCTTATTTGAAGTAGATTTTTCACATATGTTCAAAATCTTGTATCTTGATTTAATAGAATAATTTTTCTGAAAAAAAGTTTTTTTACTAATTAGCAAGTCTATTAAGTGCCAACTGTTTTTAATCCTTTTTATGTCCTATTTAAACAAAATAATAAACAACTTATAATTGGAACTTTATTATTTAGTATGTATAATAAATAACGTTCTTATAAATTGATTTTTTTATTTCTTATTTTTATTATTATTATTTTTCTTAGTTCTTTTATATATTTGTGTTATTATATTCTTATTTAGTTATAATATGTTTGTAATATAGATAGTGTTGGGTTGTATGTAAAATGAATGCCACTGTAACTGAAGTTAAGTTTGAATGATTTTTGCGTTTTTGTTTTTTAAAAGTAGTTTTCATTGTATAAAAAAATACTTATCAGTGATTATTCTAATAAAATATAAAATAAATGTGATATATGACATGACACAATATTTATTACAGATATATATATATATATATACATATTTTATAGTTAAAGACACTGCAACCTCTTCCAACTGGTCTTTTGTAAACAATTTAAAAACTAAAAATTGCATGCATTTTGCATGATATAAAATGTGGTATATGACATGACACAATATTTATTATATATATATATATATATATATATATATATATATATATATATATATATATATATATATATATATATATATATATATATATATATATATATGTATAAACAGTAAATTTATATTTTTATTTATTAATTTTTTTAGTTTTTAAATTGTTTACAAAAGACCAGTTGGAAGAGGTTGCAGTGTCTCCAACTATGAAAATGATTTTTTCTGGAGCAGTATGTATTTAAAAAATGATTATAAAATTTATAATTATCTGTTAGTAAGCAACCGGGGTTGATACTTGACCATGGCTAGGGCTAGAATTGATAAAATGTAGCCGGAGCACGGTTGTGACTAGGGCTAGGCTTGTGACGGGGGTTGCATAAACATTTATATATCCTAAAATTTGTTTGTTTTTTTTTCAAAATTCATATTATACAGAAGCTTCAGCCAATATGACTTTTGGTGAGTTTTGTCAAGCATTTTATAAAGAAAATTGTTACACAGTCATTATTAAAAATTTAAAACATCGTATAAAAGCTAGTATTTCGAAAAAAACTCAATGGAATTTCTCAACCACAGGTAACGGAATTATGTTTTTAAGTTATAATGGACTCATTGATGATCACTACCCAGTTTCATTTATTTTAAAATCGTGCTTTAGGCAAAAAAGTAAAAGAAGTTTTAACTAGAATGACACCAACATTAGTAAGGAAATTTGCAACAAAAATTTATCAAAGTTTTCCCTGTTTGAAGCAAAATGTTGCACATCATTTATGTCACAGTTTGAAGTGGCTTAGAGCTAATATTCCTTATTTGACAATTGTAACACCATATCAAGCACAATTAATCAACTGTGTTTAATTAAAAGATCATTAACAGATCAGCAGAAAAAAACAGGCATTTGTTTGAACCTGAAATAAACAAGGGGTCTATAAAAGTAGTTGATGTAAAAAAAAAGTTGTCAAATTATTCAGAAATTGTATGTGATGAAAAGGTTAAAAAAGTAGTTAATAAAGTTTGATATGCAATCTAAACAGTTGTCAGGAACAGAACCTAATATTGACTATATTGATTTTGTTAATGAAGTTTCTTGTACATTAAGCTCCCCTATTTCACAAGAAATTCGAAAAAAAGAAGAAGGTTACATTACTAAAAGAAGTGACAATATTGAAAGTTTGAATGACGCTGCAAAGGAAATTGATCTATTTAAATCTGAAGATTTTAACCTAGATGACTATATTCCGTCATCTCCAGATAATGCATGATAACAGATCTTTCAAAAGAAGCCGAAAAGAATTTACTGAAGAAGATAGAAAGCCTATTTATTTGCATTTATCTAACGTAATATATTCAAATGAACCAATAATGAAAAAAAAAATTGTATTATTGTTAAAGAAACCAGAACTAGCGGGTCTTGTAAAAAAGTTTGATTTGCTATCGATAAAAATGAGAAGAAACAATATAAACATTTTGTAAATAGTCTTTTTACTATTTAGGTGTCTTTAAGTAAAAATGTGTTTAATGGATTTTTTTTCAAGTATGAAAAATTTAATAGCTTTGATTTGTGGGGCAGAAGATGAAAGTAGTTTGTTCATTTCTGCATTTATAATGTTTGCAAATAACACGCTGTATTTTTTTTTGTACAAAAATGAATAGTTATATACAAAAAACTTTTTAGGCAAAATTTAGGCAATTTCTTGACATAAGCCTCTTTTATCATTAAGGGACTAATATACTACACAGGAGAAAGCAGTATTTGTGAATCAGGTACTGTATATGTGACTTTTTTAATTCAGGTACTACGCATGTAAGATTTTTCTTTTAAAATTCTGTTTTGATATTTTATATAAACTTTTTAATTAGATAACGTTTAATACAAAAGTCGCATTCATATCTAAAAACAGGTATCGTGACACCAGGCTTTTAAACAGGTGAGTTTTATCGCATTTATTTCAATTTTATTTTATTAATGATTGTTTTATTTAACTAATTTTTGTTTCGTAAATACCTAATATTTACCATTCAAATTTAAATATTTTTTGTAAATAAAACACTAAATCATCAGATTTAGTTGATGAACCTATTGAACCTCGGATTTAGTTGATGAACTTATTGTCTACTGTTAAAACATGATTTGATTCAGTAAATTTTTATTATTTGAATTTTACTGTATTAATCATTAGTCAACAGTTAGCGAGAAACTGGAGTTCTATGTAATTGAGGTAAAATTAATTTTGTTCACTGGTAACATTCCAAAACAGTTTTTGTGGTTTATTGTTTTATAGCTATATTGTGCTACTATATTGTTTTAATGATAGATTAATTAATAAACATTCCAATCGTCACCGAAAATTAAATTTTCCTGTTTGTTGCAGGTAGGTTTATAAAGTTTATGTTTATAAAATTTTAGATAAGTAAAATTTAATTTTCTTATCTTGGTATTGTGATAATACTTTTTTTGCTTTTCATTGAAACTAACTGTTTATAAATTATTCATAGGCTTGTTTTCCTTTAATTAGGAGTATGGTAGACTTAAAGAAGCAGTTCATATCTAAACGACACAAACAGCCAAAAGCAAGAGAAATAAAGAATAAAAGAGTTTTATAGCGACAGAACTTATTTTAATTGAATAAATGTTCAAAACTTTAGTTTAGAAAATATCTTTTTTATGCATAATGTTGTATAAATTTGTTTTAAGTCAAAGTTGTTTTGAGACATTTATCGGTATTTAAGCAAATAACAATTTAAAAATGCCCTAAATCTGAAAGATCTGAAACAGAATAAATCGTACACAGTACGTCACAATAAATTACAAAATTAAGATAATTCATCTAATACTGTTATAGTATTATAATAATAGCTACATTTACTTTTCCTATGTTTAGCTGCATTAAGCAAAATAAATTACAAAGAAAAAATCATACTTTTTTAAATTCGTCTTTCATGCATATTTATCTGCATTAAAAATTAACTAAGTCGCTTGTTTCTTAATTTTTTTTTAATGAGAATGAGTGACTACTTCCCCAAGCTATAGCACACTTCATGAATAACGCAGTTACAAGTTGTTAATGCTTTTATATTTTATAAGGAACTAAAATAAAAATGTTTTGAGACAACCGGAAACTAAAAGAAAAAACTTGAAGAAAATGAAGATTAAATTAACTACGAGGTAACTGACTCATTTGCGCTTGCTTCAAGCAAACATCTTAGTAAAACAACGTAGTAGGGCACTTTTTAAGGCGGTTTTTAAGTCGACAAATAAATAGGTACTTAAATTTACATATTTGTGCACTTATGGGGCTTTATTGGCCAAAGAGACAGTTGTGATTAATCTTAACTTAAAAGTTATTCCTATCAGAACTGAATAAGTCAAACATGCAGTTGAAAATGTAATGTAGTGATCACTGATAACTATATAATTAAAAAGCTATAAATCGAGATTGATATATTGTGATAAAAAAAGAAAAAAGCACCTTTACAACTCAAAACTAATCTCAGAGTTCTACTGCTTAAGAAAGGTAATGAATTACTTAAATAAAAAATTTTCGGAGAAAACTCAAACAAACAAAAAAACGGTCAATCATGTTCAACATACAGAACTATCCCCATCCTACTCAATATCTAATTTTTTGAAGCAATATGCAAACCAATTCTGCTCTACGGCTGTAAAAGTTATATTCTCATGTAAATACTTTTAAACTTAAGCACTTAGTAGCATTTTAAGATACAGCTTCAGTTAATCCTGAGAATTAAAGTAATTGACCTGGTCAGCATTCAGTTAATATTTTATATAGTAAAATACAATCGGTTTAAACTTCATATTCAGCAATTGTGTTTTGTAAGATATTGCATTATAAGAGACTCAAACAATTTTATTACCCAATACATACTGTTGGACTGTGGAAAAAAACAAGTTGGAGCAAAGTTGTAAAGTAAACTGAAAACAATATATCTCCAATAAAATCTGCAAACTTATCAATAGTAAAGCGCCACAAAGAACAAACAAGATCTGGAATGTCGCAAAGCTCAGACATGCTTGATCTAGCACGGAAAACATTTGAAAAAATTTGCTTACCCACCCTGTTTGCAGCCTTTGATAAGGGTAATGATGATTGGCCATGGAGCATCAGCAATTTTAAATCATTTCGTTTATTGACTTATTTTAAAAAAACTAAATAGGGTCGAATAACTTAAAAGACACTTTTTAGTTAAAATGATATTATTTTTAACTATATATAATTGTTTGATGTTCACAAAACAGTCACTTTACACTTAAAAGTAAAAAATTTTAAGTTTTTTCATTTATAAGCTACACAAAAAATGTGCGCCCCCATGCTACCTAAACTCAGAAATTTAGGTAAATAGTTATGTTATGTATAATTCAATAATAAAAAAAAGGTTTTTTAATTTATTTAGTAAAATAGTAGAACTTGAAAATAAAAAATTTCAAG